CTCTCCGTCCGGAAAAGCTTATCCCAAGCTTAGTGGTAGATACGTTTATTTGAGGAACAAGCTTTTTCGAACGGAGGAAGTACATGCAAAGAAACTTAGCTAGGCCGGCCGTTGAGTGCTCAGACGAGATCACACGCCTAGCCGGTAGTAGGCCGGTGCAGTGTGGTATACTGCATCGTATAAAGCATGCGTACGTAACCTCGGCTGCCTGAGTTGGACCCTCCGACGGCCGGCCGGACGTCTCAGGTTGTTGCTGACGAGAAGCGTCTCTAGGAGGGGCGCCTGATGACGGACCTGGGCGTGCTTCTAGATTTGGTTGACGGGCGTCGAACAGGAGGCCTAGTGGAGCTTGGTGGCAGCGGGCGACTGGAAATGTCGAGCGTCAACAAAATTGTTAGGCTCGGCTTTGTATAATCTGCGATGAGATGGTAGGCGTAGAGACATGCTAAAGGTCGGTTGCCGAACCGTAATACAGACAAGAGATTGTCTTGCGGACGGCATTATCATAATAACCCACCCAAATGCCCGGACGTAAGCTGATGCGTCCAAGGTGAACCGTAGAGGAAATATGCACAAGCTGTTTGCTACTTTGTGCAGGTTCAGGCCTTCTCGTCTGAAGATATACTGAATGAGCACTTGAGCCTACGTACAATGAACAAATCTGTGGTGAATGATGGAATGCGCGTGCTGTTGGGTGATGAAGGGGTAGTGGGATCCAGGATTCCCCTTCTCATGGTGATGCACTCGCACATGACTTCGTCCAAGGTCTCCCCGTTGCAAAGTCAGACATGGAACATGCCTGCTACTCTGCTTGCTAGTGATACCCAGGTCAACTAGAAACTCTACTTTATGTTAGTATGCCCCCCGTACATCAATGTTATTATGCCCCCCCGTACATCATCTCCTGTTCTTCTACATGGCCTAGATCCATGCAGTTTGATACTTTCTTCGTCTTAAAATAAATGTCTTAACTTTATACTAATTTTCATACAAAGTTGTATTAAAATCGAGACACTTATTTTTAAGACAGAGAAAATAAATAAACAAATATAAGATTGTTTAGATCAGGGAGTACTAGTTTGCTCCTCGCAAAACATCCACCCTGGCTTTACTATCTTTACAATCACAAGAGCCAGGTCACTACTCCCTCGATCAAGCTTGCAGAAAACGTCTTATATTATGAGGCGAAGAAGGTAAAACGTTATTGCAAAGAGACGCGAAGAGGATTTGGCATGGCAATCCGCCAACGTGCGTCTCCGTTAGCTAGCTAGAATTTGCCTTCCTAGCTCTGATAAAGCAGAGAGGATTTGACATGGCGATGCATTGACCGTGCTTGTCAAAATGTCAAAGCCCAACCGCCATGTTTATTTTTCTGGAGAATCTTGAGAGATGCTAGTGGCGTACGAACACGATCTTTATTTTGACGCACGTATACGGTTCATGAGCTGGCAGAGCCTAATCATGGGGAGCCGGTTGAACATTTCCTCGTCGAATCGGCACATCACAAGGTGCTAACAACTCAGATTTCCCGTGTCTTGGCACACAAATCTCCTCGCTTTTTTTCTCCGTCGCAGTCACTCCGCACGGGCAGAAGGATCAAGAGCCGGAAGAAGTACGCCTGTGATTAGGCTCTTCTGGCTCCTGTGATCATGTATTTGTTTATTTTTGAAAGGAAAAAAACAGTAGAAAATGTCTCATTTGTTTTAATCCAATCGCCATCTATTTTCCCGCACAAATGGACAGCAAGAGCCGTGGACAGAGAAAACAAAAAACACATGCATGGTTCCCTAAAAAAAACACACATGCATGGTTTTTCTTTGCTACTGTGTTGTTTCAGTGTTCTTTTATGTTGTTGATTTTTTTTTCTAACCACTCTTTCAAGTGGTTCAGTGTTCGCGCCCTCCAACATCAACCCTTAAATCGCCCGTAAACGTCGGACCAAATTGTTCGCATGCATTTTACCACCCAACGTGATACCCATCTGTTCGCGGACGCATTCGATTGTCCGATTGTCCAAAATCTCGCAAACCAGGGGAGCTTTTGCGGGTGTTCGGACAGCCGCCACATACGCGTTTGACACCTTGGTCTCACCCAAAAAACATCGCCCGCGCACACGTCCTCTCTCGCGTTGCACTGTATTTATGCCAGTCCAGAGCAGCACATTCATGCCGGTTAGAGCGGACGTGACCCATCACTGGAGGCAACATTGAATCGGTGTGGCGTCCAAGAAACCAACCCCGCCGCCCGCGCCACGTCCCGAACTCCGCACATGTTCAATATCGGAGGTACGTGATGTCACGGGACAGGATGAGATGACTATTGCTCGGGTGACACCGTCACCTTCTTTGCATGACTCTCTTTATCTCCGCCTTTTTCTTCTTCATCAGCCTTGCCGTCCTACGGCCACGACCGATCGCATAGGAGGATCCGGGTTTGGAGGGACCATGAACCTCTCCAAGGGCTTTGGAGGATCCATCCGGATGTTCGAACAAGTCCGGACATTTTTTATGCTCTGTGTTGAATGGCTAAAAGTGTCGAGACCTGCAGGTTCGAACATTTGCAAGAGATTTAGTGGTCCGCACTGGAGTTACTCTTTTATTCCCCAGGATACCATGGCGTCGTCACCACAAGCGCCCTATTGTTGTTAGGCTTCTTCTGTCCTCCATATCTATACCTCGAGGTTATGGCACCGTCATGCTCGTCCCCGGTGGTGTGTGAAAGGCCGGACTGCTTCAAATCTTGCACGTGGCGTGATGAGAAAGAAGCTGAAACTTGATTCCCACACTGACTATTGAATTTGAGCGAGCTCCAAACGGGACCTTCATAACCTCCAAATATGGAGTCTATGAGCTCTGTTTTGAAGCGAACTCCATAAACTCTGTTAGAGTGTCATTTTGGATCAAAATCATCACATTGACAGTTTGTATGGTGACTGGACCAATATGGCTTCATGGTAAAGTTGCTCGTACCTCCAACAACTCATTTGCTTTTTCAACAACATTGAGTTGTACTTTCAGCATTTCCCCGCAAAAAAAAACACATTCTCAGCAGCAATTATATGAGTAATGGTCAACATTTTATTTGTACTTTCATTACCTACAATTCGTATTTTCCATTCATAATCATGGCAAAAGATGTGACATCACCCAAGTTTTCATTCATAATCATGGCAAAAGATATGACATCAACGGTTGATGCACAACCTCACACTAGCAAGTAGGAACGATATCACGTGAATATTCTCTCCGGTGGAACCACTTTGTTCTGTTTGTCCTCGTCAACCAAATCAAATAATGTCTGTCAAGCTTGGAACTAGGCCGGGCATCTTTAACGCCAACTCTCAAACCGCCCGCAACCGCGTAATCTGGACATGTTTTGCCATCCAATGCGGTCCTATATCGGTCCGTGAGTCGGTCCAGACGTCTGGACATGTTTTGCCATCTAATGCGGTCCTATATCGGTCCGTGAGTCGGTCCAGACGTCATTTTCTCCGCAAACCGTGACCCAAAACCCCTCTCCCTCCTCCGCACGCTTTCGTCAGAGCGTTAGCTCCGCGTTCATTCCGCACAAGAGCAGATGCGACATGTCACTAGAGTCGACATTGAAGTGGCTCGCTTGTCGAGAGCGTCGCTTGTTGCACGCCTGCTGCGCACGCCTTCTCTTTGCATTAAACGACATCCATCTACCCGCATACCTTCATTGAACTAGCGCGTGTGACGAGAAACCTACTCTGGCGTCTCGAGTGCCACATATCAGTCCGTGTGCTGGACGGATGCGGTGCTCGGTTTTGGAGTCTGCGTTGAAGATGCCCTTACTTATTAGTACTCACCTACATAATACTAGCTCGTTATCCCACCAAAACACGCTGTAAGTGTACAATTAAGCCCGGCCGCATTGTTGCGATTGCGTTCATAGGCCTGCATGGTTTTTACATGGAACACTCACTCACCACCTCACCGGCCACCGGTGGTGGTCGTCAGCCGCAGCTTTTGTTTCCCAGAGCGAGCAAAGCACCGCATATCCCTCAGGAAGGAAGCCATATGGTGCCGTCACCACGTACGTACGTAGTGCACGCACAGAGAGAGCGAGACCTGGCTGGGGGCCAGGAATGTTTTGGCGGAGGCAAAGCCAATGATCCGGTGCTGGAGACCGCGGCGACAATCGTGGCCACCAAAGCCGCTGCTCAGCTCGCCCCCATGTTCGCCCTCATCATGGCGCTCTCTCTCTATCCATCGGTTCTATCCTGGCAGGCAGCGCATGCGACGCGCCACCGTCCTCGACCCGTAGGTGCGCGCGCTCCCCGCCCACTCAGGCTCACCCGACCGACCGGCAGCCAGCTCGCTCGCGAAGTCGCAAGTCGCCGCCGGGGCACGCAACGAAAACGGAACGAGAGCGTCGCGGTCGCACGCCACGGCACGGCGCGGCGCGTCGCAAGGTGCCGCTCGACGATACGCGACGTGACGGCGCGCGCGGGGACAACGCCGGCGCACGCGATGCATGGCCACGAGCGGTTCACGCGGCCACGTCGGGCCTCCGCCTTGACCAGCTTTGCCACCGCGGCGTGAAAGTGAAACCTCGGCTGCTACTACGACTTGTTACCGCTGCGTGGTGCTGGTCAGCAGCGCCGGGAGTCGGGTCGTGCTCTCGTATTTCCCGGAGATCGGCGCGGCTAGCCTGGCTTTGTCGTTAACCGATCTTTTACGGCCGGGATATTCATGTCTGCTCCTTTTCCCCGGCCCGGACTCGCCGCAGCCCGCGTCCACACGCGCGGTGGGACGGCAAAGCCTGGCTGGTGAGCACGAAGCGAAGCGAGCCAGCCAGTGAGTAGTACTGGAGCGCGTAGCATTAGGTCGCCTTGGTTGGACTGTTGCGTGAGCTATATCACCCATCAGCCCATCTCCTCCCCCTCCGACCCTCCCACCTCCCCAAAATCGTCAACCCAGTTTGGTGGGTCGCAGCGCGGCCGTGTCGGGTGGACGGACTGCTCTGCCCAAGGGAAGATGCGGGGGGTCGGCGGCGGCGGCGGCGGCGTGGGGGCCCCGGGCCGGCCGCGGTGGGGCGGCTCGGGCGCCACCACGCCGCGCTCGCTCAGCACCGGCTCCTCGCCGCGCGGCTCCGACCGCAGCTCCGACGACGGCGAGGAGCTGGTCGAGGTCACGCTCGACCTGCAGGAGGACGACACCATTGTGCTGCGCAGCGTCGAGCCGGCCGCCGCCGCAAACGCCAGCGCCGCCAACGCCTCGGTCCCCGGCTCGTCGGGGGCGTCGCCGTCGGTGATGGGGTGGGGCGCGGAGCCGACGCCGCCGCCGGGGGCCGGGGCGGGGCCGTCGCGGTCGCGGTCGCCGGCGATCCGGCGGACCTCGTCGCACCGGCTGCTGCAGTTCTCGCAGGAGCTCAAGGCCGGGGTGTCCCGCGCCAAGCAAATCTCGCAGGACCTCACCAAGCGCTTCACGCGCACCCAGAGCCGCGCCGCCCTCGCCGAGCCCCCTGCTCAGCCCCTCGCGCACCCGCCGTCGGGCATCGAGTCCGCCCTCGCCGCCCGCGCCGAGCGCCGCCAGCGCGCGCAGCTCGACCGCACCAAGTCCACCGCGCAGCGCGCCATCAAGGGCCTCCGCTTCATCAGCGGCAACGCCAAGGCCAGCAACAACGCCTGGATCGAGGTCCAGCGCAACTTCGACCGCCTCGCCCTCGACGGCCGCCTCTCCCGCGCCGACTTCCCGCAATGCATAGGTCAGCTCGGTTGCCCACCTCCAATCTCACTCCACCCAACAACCGAACAATCGCTCCCCTAATCACTAGCTGCATTTGGTTGCAGGGATGATGGAGTCCAAGGAGTTCGCCATGGAGCTCTTCGACACGCTGTGCCGGCGGCGGCAGATGCAGTCGGACCACATCAACAGGGAGGAGCTGCGCGAGATCTGGTCGCAGATCACCGACAACAGCTTTGACTCGCGCCTCCAGATCTTCTTCGACATGTAACAACCCACACCCCTACAATCCCCAACCAACCTCCTGCCAAAATCATTCTGCGCGCTCTGAGTCCGCACCATTTCTTCGCTCCCTTAACGTGGTACGGTTCAATCCAATCGCAGGGTGGACAAGGACGCCGACGGCCACATCACGGAGGCGGAGGTGAAAGAGGTACCACCACTACTACTTACCACTGCCGCTGTTCTTCATACGTACTCGTATCTCCTTTCCTTTTTACCCCGGTCGCGCTCGGCATTTCTGCCGCTGCGACAGTACAAATTCTTCCATTTTGGTGGTCGTAGAATATTCGGACCAGTATATTTTCATGATTGGGCCGTCCATTCTCGCCATGTCCTTGTCTGCTGGTTGTCTGCAAGCTTGCGCTCCAGGATTCACGCATGAGAATCGTATGTGTGGATTGGGAAACATTGCCGACTAATCAAGGCCCCCCACCCCCAGCGAGACTGGCGGGGGAAGAAAGCATCATCCCTGGCAGTGGCCGGCGCCCACGCACCAATCTCTTTCCACATGAGCTTTTTTCGTTCTAGAAACACGGGACGGGAGGAAGAGGTTACGTAAATTTACCACGGATGGCGATGGAAGTCAGTCGTGAAGGGAAGGCCAGATCGAACGCAACAGTAGTTGGTGGGGGGCGTTCCCGTCAGGCTGGCCAGCTATTGTAATCTGTTCAACAGGGCGGACTTTTTAATTAGAGATTTGATCTAATCTATTGTCTCCGTTGTTGTGATCGTGACATTGTGTAAAGGGCCTCGCCAGGTTGTGTTTGTTTGTTCGTCGTGCCTTTTTCCAAGCTGTGAAAAGGATGGTTCCTGAATCCTGATGATTAAAGGTGGCAATTTGCTTTGTGTTTCCAGATCATCATGCTAAGCGCGTCCGCCAATAAGCTGGCGAGGCTTAAAGAGCAAGCAGAGGAGTACGCCGCGTTGATCATGGAGGAGCTAGACCCCGAAGGCCTCGGCTACATTGAGGTATAAAACTATAGATTCCTTCTGGCTTCCCGTCGCTATCCTCTGGTTTCCTTGAAATTTTGCTTCTCAAGACAGCAACGCTATTGTTGCTACTGAAAAAGAAAGCTCTGTATATTTTTATTCCTGCCAGTCAAATGCCGTTGCTCTCCTCCAGCAAATATCCTAGATATCATTCTATCTTTGTTTCTACTTCTGCCCTCCTCCACATGTCTATTTTAACACACCCAAAGGTTGAACCAATAACCATCTTACTTGTTGGCCAGTCTGGGATACAAGTTCCCGTCGTGTGTCTCTCAATGGTCAATGCTTTGCTGCCGGTTCACTTTCTGGAGCTCTAGCTACATTCCAAACATACGGAAAATTGCAGTTATTTGTAATAGAGGAAACTGGAAACCACGGGCCTGAAGCCCTTAGGTCTTCAGAAAAGAGACATCATTAATAACTGTACTTGAAGTCATATGTTGGTTCGCTGAAGAAGGGGCTTCCTCTTTAAGCAACATCAACGTAGTTGATGCAGTAAAAGTGTTGTGGTGATTGACATGTTTATGCTGAAAATTGACACAACCAAAATAGAATATTAACAAAGAACCCTGATCATGCTTCCCTTGACGACCACCTGTGCTTCAAGCTGGTGAGCACCTGTATAGCAGAATATCAAGTGTAGCTCAGTCTGAATCTTCTCATAATTTGCCGTCTTCAAATGAGATTTTCCACATTGCACATCTGACTGTATGTTGCTGAATTCTAGCAAGAAAGATGTAGTTTATCTTCGCCATCCACACCGAAACCTTTTTAATCCTATCAAGAATAGAGGCTGTTGCTTGCAGGAGCCTGTGCCATCCATAGTCAAATTATATCCACCGTCCCGCCTGATGTTGCAATTGTGAGACAGCGACGGCACATTACCCTAATCAAATACAAGGCTCAGTGCCCAATATCATTTGTTGTAGAATTGTTGTTCTGGTATCGCCAGGGTTACAATTACTTTTGACCTTTCATTAGGCGCCAAGTCTTATTTGTCTTATTTAGTGGACAAAGTAATTATATCCACATCAAATACTGCAGCAGCCTCACTTCTGTGCTATACCCTATATGCACTGCTTTAGTTCCATTTTTATTTCTTATGTGTGTACGAGTCTTTGCTAGTCTGTGTTTGTTTGGGAGACTGTCGAAGTGTAGCACTTGTACAGGTGGATATTCAATACGATGCCCCTCTTTCTTAGGATGGAGTTATTGCATGCATGTTCCCCAAGATTTAGCAGGTATGGTGCACTCATATGGGAGCCATGTGTGCCACCAGATACAATCATAATCTTGTGGGGCCTTCTACAGTTTGGTGGGCTGTTTGACTTTCGGTTCTCAGACTGATGTGCACCGTTAACCTGCCGTGTATTTCGTGATCAGTATAACTATGGATTTTATTTTCCGACTGTTGATTGGGTCATATGCTGTTTTAGTTAGACAACACAATGGCCTTTCATTGTTAACTCCACTACAGTTAATTAACTGATAAAATTATGGTAGTTGGATAAAAGTGTGTTCTGTGCTTTTAAAATTGAAATGTTCACACATATAAGATTATTTGGTTATCACTTTAAATGTTTATAAATAATTGTTTGGTTCATGGATAGGCCAAATTGATGGGACTTATTACCAGCAAATATTGTAGGAAAAATGTGCCAGTGTTTCTTGAGGCCGTATTCTACTTAATGTTGGGACACGTTAAAAATACTGTTTGTGTTTGTCATTGCAGCTTTGGCAGTTGGAGACGTTACTATTGCAGAAGGATACATACGTGAACTATAGCCAGGCCTTGAGCTACACAAGCCAGGCACTGAGCCAGAACCTTGCTGGCCTGAGGCATAAGAGCCCGATCCGAAAAATGAGCAGCAAATTAAGCTATTATCTGGAGGACAATTGGAAACGCCTCTGGGTACTTGCACTATGGATTGGGATAATGGCTGGATTGTTCATTTGGAAATTTATCCAGTACCGCAACCGGTACGTCTTTAGTGTGATGGGCTATTGTGTAACAATTGCGAAGGGGGCTGCTGAGACCCTTAAGCTGAACATGGCACTCATCCTCCTACCTGTATGCCGCAACACCATTACTTGGCTGCGTAATACAAGAGCTGCACGGGCATTACCTTTCGATGACAACATCAACTTCCATAAGGTTAGACATTAGACCCTCAATGCTTTTGTTATTGTTTGTTTATTTCTGCGAAATTAAGCCATGTCCGACTGTCCAGTAAATTTCCTGCAGAATTCCTGTGGTCTGAACAGGCCCAGGATATATTTTTGTATTTGTGTTGGAAAAGATATCTCTCCACACTTTCATTATCCGTACCTAGTTTCTGTAGATCGCAGTGGTTGATCTGAATACATGTGATGCAACAAAATTTGGTTAAATACACGGTCCTTCGCATGGTTGATGGTTCCTACGTGTGGGTCTGACATCACATGTGCCCAACACTATGGAGGGGACATAATAGAGCTTAGTTAATAGACAACTCGCCCATACTTTCTGTCTGAAAGCTTTCTCTGACGTCCCGATAATTGGTGCAGTTTAGAAAATTGGTTATGAACTTGAAACAACAATCATATTTTGCCTGGTTGCTGTTTAAAATCTTTTTTTTCCCGCTCCTGTTATCTTATGTTTTGTTTTTAAATTAAGCTATGGGATAGTCATTCTTTTCCATCAGCAGTATTTGACTTACACAAACTAGTCATGCAAGTTTAGATCCTGAAGGCATGCTTTTATATGAGTGTTAAAGAAACAACCTTTGGTCACATATACTCCCTCCGTTCCAAAATAATTGTCATTTCAAAATTGAAGCAATACCATGACACTTATTTTGGAACAGAAGGAGTAGTATATAAGCTCTGTACCCACCTAAATTAAGAGGATGAGAGAAACTGAAACCTGGTACCATACAGAAGTCGGATGGCCATAATTTGAATGCAGCTGTCAGCTGACAGTAATAGTTGGGCTGTAAAGCCGGCTCATCCGAAGCTCTTCTCACCAGCTAACTAATGCAAGGACAAGCTGTGGTCCAGCTCATTTTCATTTGAACGCACAAAATGAAAATAATTTAATAAACAGAAATAATCCAGGTGTATATGGTGATCATTAGTTGTGCCTAATGTGTCTGCTATCAACTTACCATTCGTACTCTATGCTAATTTGACACATAATGATATAATGGTTACAGCTAACAATGAACATTTTGTGTTGCCATGGCAGACAATTGCGGCGGCAATTGTGGTTGGTGTTATACTTCATGCAGGAAACCATCTTGCATGTGATTTTCCACGGCTTATAGATTCCTCAGATCAGACGTATGCTCCACTGCGCAAGTACTTCGGGGAGACCAAGCCAACATATTTGGCGTTAGTCAGAGGAGTGGAGGGTGTAACCGGAGTTATTATGGTTGTCTGCATGCTCATTGCTTTTACTCTAGCAACCAGGTGGTTCCGTCGTAGCCTGGTGAAGCTTCCCAAGCCATTTGACAAGCTAACTGGCTTCAATGCCTTCTGGTACTCTCATCATCTGTTCATCATTGTATACATATCACTTGTTATTCATGGAGAGCGTCTATACCTTATCCTGGATTGGTACAAAAGAACGGTTAGTTTATATCTTTCCTTCTCCTTTACTCTCTTTACCTGAATAATTTTGTAAGCACCTAATCTCTTTTGCAGACATGGATGTATCTTGCAGTCCCTGTTGGGTTATATGTAGGGGAGAGGACTCTGAGGTTCTTCAGGTCTGGCAGTTACTCTGTCCGGATATTGAAGGTCAACCCACATAAAATTTGAAATTTGAGTTCTATTTCCATGTCTGGTATGCTGACACACACACTTGCTTTGCAGGTGGCCATATATCCTGGAAATGTTTTGACATTGCAAATGTCTAAGCCACCGACATTCCGTTACAAGAGTGGGCAGTATATGTTTGTTCAATGTCCAGATGTTTCACCATTTGAATGGTACATGCCTCTTAATTGTAAATAAACTACAATTGGAGCAAAAAAAATCGCTTTTACACTATCTAGTATGTTTATGTACAGTATATTTGTAGAATAAGTATGCAGCACTTCATTCAATCTCAAATACTCTTACTCTTTTCAGGCATCCCTTCTCGATAACTTCAGCACCCGGGGATGAGTTTCTCAGTATCCATGTCCGACAACTTGGTGACTGGACACGAGAGCTCAAGCGTGTATTCTCCGCAGCCTGTGAGCCACCTATGAATGGGAAAAGTGGCCTCCTTAGAGCAGACGAGAACACCAAAAAAACGTATGGCTATCCTTCTTATTCAGAGGCAATAATATGTTTGTGCAATCGGGATCTTGATAATTATTTTCAAAATGCAGTTTCCCAAAACTTTTGATTGATGGACCGTATGGTTCTCCTGCGCAAGACTATAGCAAGTATGATGTTTTACTACTTGTTGGGTTAGGAATTGGTGCAACTCCTTTCATCAGCATATTGAAAGATCTGATTAACAACATCATCAAAATGGAGGAAGAGGATGTAAGCGAATTTTCCATGTACCCTATTACAATTAGAACTACTATTGATTCTTGACAGACTAGACTGCAATCTATATCATATTCCTTATGCCCTAACCGCAGGAAGAACGACAATATTCAGTGATTTATTTATCCATCTATTTGTGCTACATTTTACCAAAACTATGAAAAACTAGACTAATTAATTAACTCATCAACCTATATTTGCAGGAAGCCTCAACTGATCTTTACCCACCAATCGGACCCAGTAAGGCATCTGTTGACCTTGACACCCTTATGAGGATTACGTCAAAACCAAAGAGGGTTTTTAAGACAACGAATGCTTACTTTTATTGGGTTACACGCGAACAAGGCTCTTTTGATTGGTTTAAAGGAATCATGAATGAGATTGCTGAACTAGATCAAAGGGTAACTATCAGCTAAACTTTTTTCAAGTGACACACTGTTTGCTCGCAATTTAGTTCTTACAACTGTCTTTCTTCAATACTAGAATATCATTGAGATGCACAACTATCTCACAAGTGTTTATGAGGAAGGGGATGCCCGGTCAGCACTCATCACAATGCTGCAAGCTCTCAACCATGCCAAAAACGGCGTCGATGTAGTGTCTGGAACTCGAGTAAGTTGCAAGTTATGACATACCAATTGTCCTCATGCCAGTCTTAGTATTAGCAGTATTAATGTTTGAATTTTGCTATATTATTAGGGTGAGATGTGGAAAAGAAACATGTTAGCATGCCTGTTGAGTTAATTTTATTTATGTGCTCGCTATTTACTGATATACTGATTTCGCAGGTGCGGACACATTTTGCAAGACCAAATTTTAAGAGGGTGCTGTCTAAGGTAGCCTCCAAACATCCTTATGCCAAGATAGGTAAGATACTAATTAAAGCTTGCCTTTTCATGCTTTTAGCTGCGAAATACTCCTACCCATCACCACGTTTTAGTTATACTTCAGGCAAGATACAATACAACAACATAAATAGCACAGTTCTGGCTGTCCAAGTAATTTGGGTATGAACTTATATAATCCGATCATTGCAAAGAAGGTAACTGCTGCTGTTGCTTGCAGGAGTGTTCTATTGCGGAGCTCCAGTTCTGGCGCAGGAACTAAGCAACCTTTGCCATGAGTTCAATGGCAAATGCACGACAAAATTCGAATTCCACAAGGAACATTTCTGAAACCAGGTAAACCGCACAATAGGAAATTAGCACAGGATTGTGTTGTAGGTATGTCGTCTTTGCTTGGTGCGTGCCAGACTTTGGAGAGCAAGGGAAAGAATCACCTAGTGCTTTCTCGGTGCACCGGTCGCCAGTTAGGCAATGCACACTGCTTTGCTTAAGATACTCGAGAAAGGAAGCTGGGGATCAGCTGGTAGTACATACATTACACATCAATCATGGATTCAGAAGTATATATTACGGTCGCGCCGGCCAGGGCAGCCCCTCTGTAAAATCTCCTATATGCGGATGCGGAGTCGACACAAAGACGCTGATCTCCTGAATATGGTTTATGGTTTTGACTACATGCTGGGTGATGTGATGTAGGACAATAGGGAAGGCCACCAGAGGCACAAGGCTAAGTAACTGTGTATATTTGCTTGTAGCTGAGTTGTCAGGCCACAAGTTTGTTTGTTCTCACTTTGTAATTATACACAGACGGAAACACAGGCAGGGAGAGTACAGTACAGTTTGATTCTTTTCTTCTCTTTGTATGTAAAGTTTAGGCTGGTAGTGATTGGGTCCGGATTGAGGACATGAATGGACTACATTCGAGCTTGTGTTGTTTCTTGTGCCACCATAGGATAACATGCATTCTTTTTCATGGGGCTGTGTGATGTTGAGACCGTTGCTCGTTTTTGTTTGGACTTCTGTGTGTGTATATGTTGCTGTTGTTGTGTGGAATATGATCATAATTGAGAAGGGGTCAAGTTCTTCCTCCGCCACGACAATGGCATCGCCGCCGTCGCGGTTCGACGGCGATCACCTCGCCGTCAGAATTCATCGACGATGATAATCTAAGTTCTGGTTTTTTCATTTCACGTGATATGATTCGACAAAACTGTAACACGACGATAATCTATGTTCTAAACAGGCTCTAAAGATCTCTAAGAAACTCAGCAAACGCCGTCCGGGATGCTCCACCTTCCTGCAGCGCCTCGTGTGCCTTCTCCTTGGCCGCCATGGCTCGCTCCCGCAGCGCCTCCCCGCCCTTGGACTCCATCACCCACCGCACCTTGGCCTCCACCTCCGCCGCCGCCACCACCTCCCCGTCGTACCCGGCCATCTCCACGCCGGCGCCCATCTCCTCCACCACGAACACCTTGTTCTGCCTCTGCTCCGCGTACAGCGGCCAGCAGATGAGCGGCTGGCCCGCCACGATCGCCTCCAGCGTCGAGTTCCACCCGCAGTGCGTCACGAAGGCGCCCGTCGCGCGGTGGCGCAGCACGTCCGCCTGCGGCGCCCACGACTTGACGACCAGGCCGCGGCCGCCGGTCCGCTCCAGGAACCCCTCCGGCAGCAGCGCGGCGAGGTCCGGCTCGGCGAGCGCGTCCGCGAGCAGGTCCGGCCCGCCGTCCGCGCTGCGCGGGCTCTGCACCACCCACAGGAACCTCTGCCCGGACCGCTCCAGCCCGACGGCGATCTCCTCCAGCTGCGTCTTGGGGAAGGTGCCCATGCTCCCGAAGCAGAGGAACACGACGCTCTTCTCCGGCTGCGCGTCCAGCCACGCCAGGCACTCGTGCTTCTTCTCTTCACCGCCACCGCCACCGCCGCCGGCTGAGATCATGGGCCCGACGCAGTACACCGGCGGCGTGGCGCGGCCGGGGACGCACGCGCCGTCCCGGAGCGCGCGCAGCGCCCTGCCCTCCAGCCACTCGAACGTGTTGATGACGATGCCCCGGGACTCCGGGATCCGCTGGAACGCGTGCAGGAAGCTCTTGTACACCTCGTTGTGGCGGTCGAGCGCGAGCCCGGGGAGGTCGGTGGGCTTGAAGGGGCGGTTCCCGGGGAAGGAGAGCGGCGCGTCGCCGATCTCGCCGAGGCTGGCGTCGCTGATCTGGGCCTGCATGCGCGGGAGGTAGAGGTTGACGGCGAGGCTGCTGGCGCTGCCGGTGTAGAAGACGTAGACCGGCACGCCGAGCTCGGCGGCGACGTCGACGGCGTCCGCGCAGAAGCAGAACATGTCGAGGACGAGGGCGCGCACCGAGGGCAGCACCGAGCGGAGGTAGTCGCGGAGCGGCGCGTTCATGCGGCGCAGGAGGACGAAGGGGTTGGGCGCCTCGGCGGCGTCCGGGGCCACCGCGTCGGCGTCGGCGTCGGCGTCCGGCGGCGTGGGCAGCACGTGGAAGCAGACGGACGGGTTGGCGGCCGCGGCGCGCGCGACGGCGGCCGAGGTGTCTGTGGCCTTGCCCGGCGGGACGTTGACGATGACGGTGACGGCGAGGCCGCCGCGCAGGAAGGGCCTGGCCAGCTCCACCATGGGCACCAGGTGGCCCACGCCGAGCCCGGGGTTGAGCACCACCGTGTCCCCCATGGCCGGACGCCGCCGTGCAGATTCCATGTATGCCAGATGACACGGTCGGTATTCGCGGTGAGATACTAACAGTAAACCCTCTTTTAAATCTTCACCATCCAAGATTGTGCTTTTGAATCGAGATAGGTTCGCTGATTATACTGAGCAAACTAGCAGAGTCTTGCGGCGGGCGGCACGCGGTCTGAAACTTGTATTCCGGTGGCTGCAAATTCCCAAGAGACGAGACGGGATATTTTGGAGTGAGCAGAGTGAAACCATAACTTTTTTTTTAGTTGGACCCCACAACATTTAGGGTTAGGGCTTTCAAAATTCAAATGTCGATCCTAAAAACAAGGGCTTTCAAATACCGTCACATTGGGTGATGGTTACAGATCATCACCGAGGTGGGCGTAAATTTTATCAGAAAACCCTAGTGGGACTAACGGTTGGTTCATTTTAAACGCGATCCTGAGTGGTTGGACCCGCTTGTAAGCGTTGATGTGGTACTAAAAGTCAATACAAGTGGTGTTGATTGTTAAGGGCTCCTTTGATTCAAAGGAATTTGATAGGATTTATGCAGGATTGAAGTATTTAGGATTTTTTCCTATGTTGGTCTACATTTTATAGGAAATCTAATATCCACTCCAACCTTCTTTTACATTTTTTTGTATTTTCCTGTGGCATCAAACACTCATTGCTAATTCTATAAGATTCAAGTGGGCATGCCACTCCAATCCTATATTTTTTTCCCTATTCCTATGTTTTCAAAATCATACGAATCAAAAAGGCCCTAAATGCACACCCTTCCCCTCGTCGCCTCGTCCTTGACTTCCGGTCGCCAACGTGGTGGGGCTTGGTGGTGCCGAGGGGCAACATTCCAATCCTCAATTCTCCTCTCAAAATTCCAATCCATAGTTTTTGGCTTTTGAATAAATATAACCATCACCTCTGGTCATTAGAACCATTTTGGAGAGAGACTGCTTGGCTTGGTTGATTACTCTTTGTTGTGCTTCATGTAAATCTTCTAGAGTATTAGAAGTGGGGTGTAATTGTTATAATCTTTTGTGCTCCACTTTTATCTTGTTGAAAAGTGATGGACTTGGTTGCACGTGTGTTTAATGTTATATCTTGGGTTTATTATCGTTGGTTTAGTTCTTGACTTCAAGGCTTGCATTTTGGGCAGTCATTAGCTTGATAAGAACACTGAGTTAGAGTATACTTTAATGGTTACGGATATATGACTTTGATTTTGAGACATTCTCAACACTATTAATTTGTATGCAAAGTAGCTACTACTATTTGGAGATGAGATAGTGTATTGAATATTCAATTGAACCTTTCAATTTCTTTCACCTAATAAGAAAAAATAATAGTATAATTCTTATATGAAACAATTAATTAGTGGCATTGGTATTACACTTTAAAAAGAAAGAAAGGAGAACTTGCACATAAGTTTGCACAAAAATTGCACTTTTTTGTAGTATGCAAAAAGTAATCATATAATAATACAATTTTCACATATATTTTTCAGTATTTGTCCGTATATATTTTACATTTATCCAACGTCCAAAAAATACCCCCACAAAAAACCCGAGTAATAAAGAAATCTGGCAAATGGACGTCAAAACTGCATTCCTTAATGGATTTCTCAAAAAAGAGTTGTATATGATGCAACCAGAAGATTTTGTCGATCCTAAAGGTGCTAACAAAGTGTGCAAGCTTCAATGATCCATCTATGGACTGGTGCAAGCATCTCGGAATTGGAATATACAATTTGATGAGGTGATCAAAGCATATGGTTTTATACAGACTTACGGCGAAGTCTGTATTTACAAGAAAGTGAGTGGGAGCTCTGTAACATTTCTGATATAATATGTGGATGACATATTGTTGATTGGAAATTGAAAGTGCAACTATCCCCGGGTGGTTTTGGTAATACCTAACAACATATAGCTCATTGAGCTAACATTATTCCAAAATTAATATTTCAGGAAAAGCTCAATGAATGACATGGCATGGATGAGGAAAGTGGATCCCTCAAAATTCTAAGGACAAAAAGTTTGGCTCAAGCTTCAAGATCAAGACTCTACATTTTATATTTTAGTGATCCAAGATCACATTGAGTCCATAGGAAAAGCCAATACTATCAAGGAGGGATGAGGTGTTGCTTAATGGCTTGCTTGCTCAAAGTGCTTAGTGATATGCTCCAAAACCCTCAACTACCTTCCCACATCCACATATGACCTAAACCAAAAGTCAAACTCGGCCCCACCGATTCTATCTATCCGGCGCCACCGAGTTTCAAATGTCATAGCCACTGCCACAAACCCTAGGCAAATAGGTCTCACCGATAGGGATCTCGGTCTCACCGAGATGGGATTGTAATCTCTTTGTTTCCCTTCGTAACGTTTCGGTCTTACCGAGATGAGCGATCGGTCCCACCGAGATTGCAATATAAACTCTCTGTTTCCCTTTTGTAACATTTCGGTCTCACCGAGATGAGCGAATCGGTTCCACCGAGTTTACCTGACCAACTCTTTGGTTAGCTTACTACCAAAATCGGTCCCACCGAGTTTGTGTAATCGGTCACACCAAGATTATGTTATGCCCTAACCCTAACCATATCGGTCCTACCGAGTTGCATATCAGTCCCACCGAAAATCCTAAC